ATATATATATATATATATATATATATATATATATATATATAACCCACATAAACAAAAGCTCTCTAGGGTCTTCAATAATTTTTAAGAGTATAAAGGAGTCCTGAGACAAGGACCAAGTTTAAGAACTACTGTCTTAGAAAAAGAACGTTTTAGACTTATAACGAGTTACAAAACTGCTGAGGACAAGAGTTTGGATCAAACTTGAAGAACATCATCTTAAGCTTTTTCAAATACTGTAAAGCTTTTGAACTTCAAACTCCACTTGACATCAACAGAATTTTAACGTCTTTAGTTGGAAATCCAACACACTGTAAGAAAAACACATCTTCAAAGAAAACAATGTTTAAAGAAAGGGCAAGTCCAGCAAATATAGTCAAAGTGCAGTTGCTGACTTTGTGGTTGAGAAGGTCAGCAAAGACCCAGAGGTACTTTGAGCTTTGGCTTCTCCAGCCTTTTCCTGGCATCAACAGCAGTTGTAATTGCTGCCGGCTGTTTGTTTTCCCTTTGCTCCTGCAGCTCAAGCTGCCCTGGGAATGCAAATATGCAAAACCTCCAAGGCCCACAGGTCTTCAGAAGTCTCCCACCTGCTCTGGTCTAGATGTCTACAAGCCTATTAAGAACTGTCAAGCTGTCTCCTTTTAACTCACAACTTTAGACAGGACTGCATGATGAACTGGGGCATGGAACACCAAGAACTACTAAACCCAAGGAAAGGAGCTCAAAGACAGTCCGTGACACCATATTAACTAGTGTTTGGTCAGGAAAATAGCCATGAAATGAGAGCAAAGTTCCAAACTGAAGAATCATCCAGACACCGTCCTTAAACTGTAGGTTTAAACCCTCAAAACTCAGGAAGACTAGAGGAGATAGTAACCCCAAAGCACCAAAGAACATTGAAAAAGCCCTCAAGAAAAGGTGTGAATTGAACCCTCTTCAGAAAAAGAGCAACTTCTACTTAAAAATACATTGTGACATCAACAAAGGATAACAGGTGGCAACAATAACAAACTAGGAAACACAAATGTCAGTGAGCTCCAGAGTTGTTTGGTTTCAATATATTTCGAAATTTAGAACATGTACTAGCCTTCACTTAAAGTTGCAGTATTCTCCAATCAATGCTCAATGACATACTAACAGCCTCAGTGACTTTGTGATTATATTTTTTCTTATTTATTGAAAAACAAGTTCTTTCCCCTGCCAAAAAGTGTGAGGGACACCTTTTGAAGGCTGTAGTATTTGGAAGAGTCAGAATATGATGCCCAGAGCTCATAATAGAAGTTAGCGGTGTGGCCAGGATTTGGACCTGGGATTCCCAACTTGGTACCATGATGGGCTCATTTGTTGAGACACCAATAGGTCAACCCCGCCTAGTCTGACATCCGCTGTACTTTTTTCACGCTGATCTCTTATTTGCCACTCTTTGGGCATTTTCCAATCTTTAACTGATTGAACTTCACAGTTGGTCAGCGCCATGCTCTTGATGCCCTCCACATATTTTCACCTGGCTCTGTCCTGAAAGCCCACTCTGTGCCACATACTGCACTGGGCACAGACAATATGTTAGTGTGCAGGCAGCCACGTCACTTAGAAATTCTGCTTCTCCCTGTCGTTTTCTTTCGTTTGTATGCCTCTGCTGGATTTCCCCCTCCGCCTCTTCTTTCAGGCTGTTTCCTAGGGTTCTGCCCTCCACCTTTACTCTTCTAGAGCTTGGCCTGGGCCATTTCAGCTGCCCTTGGGTTTTAACCACCATGCATTTGCTGATGACCTCCAACTCTGTGCCTCTCGCCACCTGTTTGTCGAGGGTAAGTCGCTGCACCTGAGCTGCAGGTTTAGGACGGAGGTCGATGAATTCAGTTTACTGATGTTCTGGCTCCACGGAACTTCTTCCATCTTCTCAACTTAGCCGTGAGGGCTGCCCGCCTTCGGGGCCTTCGCCCCGTGCTCCCTTCCCCTGTGGTCCTCTCTCCCAGTCCTCCTCCATCCGACTCATGTCTGCTTATCCTGCAGGTGTCCACTCAGGTGTCCTTTTCTCCGAAAAGCCTTCCCTGACCTTCTCCTTGCTCCTCACCCCCAAAGTAGGTGCAAGGTATCTCAGTTTCACAGTCAGCTGATTAGACGATACAACCACAAATGCCTTGTCTGGTTTGCCTTCCGTTTCCCCGCCCTGAGACCCGTCGCCGCGGTACCCCGTCAACCCTCCACTGGGCCAGGCACACAGTAGGTGCTCAATAAAAGCTGTCCCTCCTTGGCCTGAAGTGCCAGGCTTCACGTAGTAACCCTCAGAGCTAGCGGGCGGAGGGGTTCTGAGGGTCTCATTAGCTCTGGGGACCGCTGAGCGAGCTCCGGAGCGCTAAGCCGGCGTGACTGCGAAAGCCCAGGCGTTGGTGCGGGGGCGGGCGGGCCAAATTCCCGGCAGGCCCAGCGCGCCAGGGTGGGGCCGGCGTCACAAAGCCCTGGCCAAGGTCACCGGCGTGCTCTGATTGGAAGGCTTGGAGCGGGGCGGGGTGCGTCCTCGTCCTCGCTGCGTGGTGACGTCACGTTCCCGCCTCCGGCCGTTCCCGCCGCTCTGTCGGGCCGTTGAGGCGGCGCTGAGGCCAGGCTGCGAGCATGCTGCGCAAGCTTACCGTCGACCAGATAAATGACTGGTTCACCATCGGCAAGGCCGTGACCGATGTGGAGCTGCTGGGCTCGCCGCCCACCTCCCCGGCCGAAGTGGCCAGGGACGAGGCGCAGCACAGGGACGCGGCCCTTGGCGCCGTCCCCGCCATGTCGACGGCCAACCCGGCGCCAGAACCAGCCCAGGCCGAGGAGCGTCCGGTGGCGGCTGAGCGGTAGGAGGCGAGGCTGTGGGCGGGCGCGGGTCCTGGAACACGAGCACTTGGGCCACTGGCACGTCCCTGCTGTCCGGGGGATGCCCGGCCTTCTCAAGCGAGCTGGCCACCAGACAATGCCCATCCCTTGGCCTCCACCCGGCTAACCTTTCCCTACCAGAAGCAGACTTCTAAAACTTCTGTGTCAATAGACCTTATTTTTTAGAGCAGTTTAGGCTTATAGAAAAATGGAGTAGAAAGTACAGAGCGCCACGAACCTCTCTTCCTCCCCCAGCAGCCTGCCTTATTGTTACCGCCTTGCTTTAGTGTGGCACGTTTGTTATACACGATGAACCCGCGTGGATAGCGATGAGCGGAAGCGGGTAGTTAAGATGAGGGCTGCTGCTGGTGGCGTGCAGCCTGTGGAGTCGGACGGGAGTGCAGTGGCACGTATCCACCATGAGCATCACCCAGAGCAGCTTCACTGCCCTAAAAGTCTCCTGTGCACCTCCTCTTCCTCCCTCCCTCCCTGGCAGCCACTGACGTTTTTTTTTAAGATTTTTTTATTGGGGAATTGGGGGATGGGAACAGCGCTGGGGAATTGGGGAAAGGGAACAGACAAGTTGCTGTCCTTTTGTTCTTCAGTCTAGTTGTGGAGGACGTTGCTTCACTGGCCCAAGTTGGCACCATCATTGCGCTCTNCCCACAGGGCAGCGTGCCTGCCCAGCTAACTTGTGCTTCCCGACGGATGGCATCAGCTACCTCCGATTAACTCATTTTTCCATCACTCCTGCCAACAGTTTTACTTAGTCCAAGGGGGTGAGTAATGGTTTTTAACATTTGGACCACAAGAAGCAGGACACTTCATGTGCTGAAGCCACGTGCCAATGTCAACTCAGAACAGTGACAGGCCGTGTCCTGGAAAGGTACGATGGTGTTTTACAGTCCCATCCATTTAAAAAGCAAGTCTTACCTTTCAAAGCTTTACTTCTTTTATCTAAAATAAAAGGAAACAAAAGCTGGTCATATCAATGTTTCACAAAAAGCCTTCAGTCAATTCCTTGTGGAAACCAACACTTGACTGCAAAGCTCATGCCGGGGAAGCTGTTACAGCAAGCTTCTGGAAAGCAGAGCGACTGTGTGTCTCAAAGCCCAGAAGTGGTACTGTTTCTGCCACAGGTGTCCTATGAGCAGCTAAGCAGTCCTCAAAATTTGTGGGCTCTTGACTCTCTACCACCCCCCAAACTCCAGTCATGTTATTCAAGTTTTTTCCTTTCATTCCTCTTTACCCAATTGCTTATTACATGACTGGGCCCCATCTGGGCTCCACTGAGAACTACATGGTTACCCCGCCCTAATTTTTTATTTTTATTAAAGATTTTATTGGGGAACAGCGCTGGGGAATCGGTGGAAGGGGAACAGACAAGTTGCTGTCCTTTTGTTCTTCAGTCTAGTTGTGGGGGACGTCGCTTCACTGGCCCATGTTGGTATTATCATTGTGCTCTTCCTGGGTGAGGCTGACTGATCGCCGGCCTCTGGACGGTCACTCACTGCAGCTCTTGGCAGCTCACACCGGCTGCCAGCCACTCACACTGGCTGCTGGCTACACACGGTAGCCCATGGCAACCCACTGCAGCAGGGGCTACAGCCTATGCCGTTGCCGGCGACTTGCGGCAGCCCAGCTCCAGGTTGAGCTGTTGTTCACCATCTTAGTTGTAGAGGGCAGTGTCACTGGCCCCCATGTGGGATCCGAACCGGGGTCCTGCTGCTCAGAGCTGGCGTCCCAAGCCAGCTCTTAACCAGCGCGCCACTCGGCCGGCCCCTAATTTTTATTATGAATTATTTCCAGCATTCACAACATGGGAAATGAACAATAAAACACTGCGTATCATGACTTCATCCCTAAATAGTTTAGCCTGCGTTTCTTAAAACTAAGGACATCTCCAAAGCATTCGAAGTATCACTGTCACACTTAAGATATCCACGTCTTGTGTAAATTTCTCAAAGGTCCCCAAATGTCTGTTAAGACGATGTGTGCTCCCCACATTTTAATGCAGGGCCACTGGGGTTCTGATGGCCACTCCTAGTTCAGAACCACAGTCCTTTACAATGTGAACTGTGATGCTTTTTTAGATTTCATTTTGTGAACTGTGATTTCTTTTGAAAACAATTTTCTTCCTGACTGCTAACAATCAAACATGGAGAAACTCACCAGCACTCCTGATTTTGTAGACGATGAAGCTCATCAGCCCCATCCCTACCCAGATCTCCTGGTAAACCTGAGTGTAGTAGGGCTTCATGGGGACCCAAACATTTTTGATGAGGCTTTGAAACATCTGAAAAGGAACACAGTGGTAAATACTTACACGGCCATTGTTTTAAACCTAACTGGTAGGAGAATCCCATTTACTCATCAAGTCCCACACTATTTCCCACAACTCCTACTCCTGCCCCACTCCCAGCAGCTGTTCCCATGCGCACAGGGCTTGTCACACTCGTCCCACTCAATGCCCCGAACCGAGGCCATCCCAGCGCTCAGTCAGTCACCTCTCACTCCTCAGGCCGCAGCACTCGCCCAGCCTGTGCAGTCCTGCAGTGTCACCGAGTGTTCCCCCTCTCTGATGGCTGTCCTCCACTAATGATATGCCCCAAATTACACATCACTTTTAAAACTTTTTTAAAGTGAAAAACTAGCATGTCTGCATCATCATGTTCAAGACTGCTGGCATTCAAAGCTGGAAAAGAACATGGTCGAGATGGAGGCTGACACCGAGGCGCAGGGACGTGCGTGAGCTGTATTCCAGTCCTTTTTTTTTTTTTTTTAATTTCAGCTTTACTGAGGTAGAACTGACATATCAAAACTGTAAGATAGTTAAAGTGGTGGGGACCTCACACACGTAGACATTGTGAAAGGATTTCCCCAGGTAGTTAACACAGCCATCAACTCATTTTTTTTTTTTCCTGAGAACTTTTAAGTTCTATTCTTTTAGCGAATTTCAATTACACAATACAGCGTTATTAACTATAGTCACCATTGTTTACATGTATCCCAGTCTTGAAGTCTATTGCTACATACAAAGCAGACAGCTTAAGATGGCAAGGTCACTTCCTAAGAGCTGCGATTATAGAATATCTGCTTTCATGAATAGAAATATTTAACTAATTACTGGATTTGACTGGGAAGAGCCATCAAATTCTGAACTTACAGTTCATTCTTATGTGCAGGTCTCAAAGTAATGTTTTTGATTACCTTTATAATTTCCTACAGACTCTAAGATGAGATGCCCTCATTTTAATTTTAATAAGCTTTGTAATATCTGAAGTGGTCTATTAACTACAGCCATTCAAATCACTGTCAGGAATTAACTAGATCTAGTCCTTTCCATTTTGCCTGAAAACACTACTCTGGCTTCAATCAGTGACGTGGCCTCATCCCCACCCCGGGCTGTCTTCTCACCTCACCACTTGGCGACACACAATTGTGCTTCTCTGCAGTTTTCTCTGGCCTTCCATCAGTAAAACCTTGACTGTGTGATCACGATTTATTTGGCAAATGTGAACGGAAATGTACAGGGTGGCAGCAGATGCGCCAAGATCCCAAGATCAGAATGAGCTTGGAGGGTGGAGAGGAATGGGAAGGCCCTGACTCACATCTGGCTCTGCCACTCTCCAGCTAAGTTAAACTGCCTCAGTTTCCTCATCTTGGATCAAAGAGAGAAACAAACAGTACCCACCGCAAAGGGCTGTTATGAAGATGAGAGGTGTTACTCTGTGCCAAGCATTTAGTGTCTGGTGTCCTACCCTGAGTGCCTGTTACACATAAAGTATCATGGCTGGACCATGGGAAGGGAAGATGGGGCAGGTCATTTAGGGCCTTGGAGGCCACGACAGAGTTCAGCTTTTATTCTAAAGATGTTACACCAATTTAAGAGCATCCACGAAGCGTTTTACAGTTATTTCCTGCACTACTCCCCAACCCCTACCAGTGGGTACGTAGAGGAAGCTGCCTGAGACCATCGGCTGGATCTGTGAGTCAGTCACTCAGGCCCGGCTCCGCATCACTATGAGGATCTGCTCCCAGGCCTGGTTTCCAGCTCTTCCCAGGCTTGTTCAGGCTGAAGCAGGATCCTGAAGGCTTGTAGGATGTGGGTGTCGTCTTCCTGGAAGCCCTCACACTTCCTGTCCTCAGATTGTACTAAGATGCTGTCAGAGCGTGAGGTTCCAAGGAACCAGCTGCCCTGCCTCGAGAAGGTGCCCAGGGAAATCCAAACAGGCCCCAGACTGGCAGAGCTCAGAGGCACTGAGTGCATTCCTCTCCCACCTGCACCCAGCAACGGGTGGAGAAGCAGGTGCCCCCCAGGACCAATGGGGCCGGAAGCCTGGGAATCCCGGGTTCCAACAGCAGCGCTGCCTGCTCTGCTCCCGACCTCGGGCACGTCCCTGAAGCCGCCCTTTCAGAGGTTTCCCTTTCTGTGAAACAGGAATACCTCCACCTGCCCCATAGGGCACTCGATGGAATTCAAGAAGGAAACATAAAACCGAGCCTGGTGCCTGGTGTGGAGTCAGAACTCAGTCAATGCTCACGCTACAAACACAGCTGACGGCAATAGTACTAAGCCACTGGGATTCCAAGAGAGGAGACTCAAGAAGATGCTCTCCCTTAGTGAGCGAGGCCAGAGGACCACCTGGGCAGTGCATATACTTTTCCCGCCTGAATCCACTCTGTGAATCCACGTTTCCCAGCTGTGTGTGGGTTTTACAGAACTGTTCCTTCAAAGGCCCATCCTACTCAAAGGTCAAATGGGTATCCGCCGAGTCCGTTTACGCCTGCAGTTTTTGACACGTTAACAGCAAACCATTACCTGACCTTACACTGCAGAGAGGCAACACCTGAGGTCGCTCCTCATCAAAGGGGAACGACGATACAGGGGCGTTCCAAGCGCTAACGCAAGGAAAGAGCGTGCCGCGCCCGGGGCGCTGCTTCCCACCAACAGCTACCCCCTCGCAGGCCTCCCCCTTCAGTTCAGCGGGCGGGGGAGGAAAAGCTCCCGCGGGCAGGAGGAGGGCTGGACCCCAAGGTCAGCGGGGGGCGAGAGGGGGCCGCGATGGGGCTGGGGAGGCTCCAGCTCGCCGCCGACTCCGCGGGACCAGATCCGGCCCCGAGCCTCCGCCGGCCACCGCCCCGTCCCCCGCCCCGTCCCGGCTGTTCCGCGCCGAGCAGCCAGCCCAGGTACCCACACTCACCTCGAGGTAGGACAACGGCTCTGGCCGCCCCGACACTCAATGAACGTCTCGGGAAGGTCACTGAGTGCGCACGCGCCGCCCGGGGCCTGCCGGGAAAGCGGAAGGAGCGGCGGCGCCCCAAAGCCAGAGAGCTTCCGAGGCCGCGCCTGCGCACCACAGCGCCCCCGGCGGCCGCCCCGATGCCACAGGCATGAAGGCCCGCCTGGGGAGGCCAGACTGGGGGAGGGGCGTTGGAGGTGTGCGTCATAATACAGTGATTATCCGTCCTGATTTGTCAGGGACGTGGGACTTTCAGTGCTGATACCGGGAAGGTCCTGGACAAAGCGGACAAGCTGGTCAACCTGAAAAAGAGGCCGTCTTTACTTGCTATGTTAAAGGCTGAAAAGCGGAGTCTCCCCCGTCTCAGTGGTTTTCTTGCCATTTCTTTGTATTAACATTTTTGCTCTACATATTTTTATGCATCAATTCTGTGCACAGTAATTATACTCAGTAGCCAATAGAAAGACTTCCACTGGTCCTAACAGACACAGGCCTTAAAAACAACGGTGCTTACTATGTGCAAGGAAATCAAAACAAGATTGAAAATTTCGGCAGAAAACTGGAAATGGTAAAAAACGAAACAAAACTGCTTAGCTGATTTGAAAAAGAACCAAATAGAAATTGAAGTTTAGCAGCAGATTAGACAGTTGAAGAATTACTGAATTGGAAGAAAATTTAGAAGAAACCATTCAGAAACAGAGACAAGGAGTTGAGAGACAGAGGATACAGCAAGAAAATCCATCATATGTGTAATTGAATTTTTAGAAGAACATAAAAGATGGGGCAGAAATATTAGAAGAGAAAACAGGTGCCTGAGAATTTTTCAAGAGTGATAAAAAAAAATCACACCAAAGATTCAAAAAACCTTATAGAAACCAACCAAGCAGGCAGGTGAATGAAAATAAATCAATACCTTGAAACCACAGAAAACTAAAGAAAAAGAGAAAATCTTAAAATAACTACCAATCTAGAATGCAATGCATAAGGAAATTAACATTCAGTAAAGGTGAAATGACATTTCAGACAAACTAAGACTGAGGGAATAATCATCAGTAGCTCTGCAGTAAAAAAAAAAATCATCGTTCATTATCCAGGCAGAAGGAAATGAGCTCAGATGGAAAGAAAGATGGGGATGCAGGAAGAGCAATGAACATGGTCCTGCTTCAAAGAAAAATAAAAAGCTTAGAATCAAATGAAGCTGCATGCAAAACTTGAAAGGATTGCCATTTTAGGGTAGTGGTTTGGGGGTTTCCAAAGCCCCCTAAGGGGTCAAAACTATTTTCATAATAATGGTAAGATGTTAATCATCTTTTTCACTAGAATCCTCTCACAAGTGTATGGTGGAGTTTTCCAGAGACTATGTGATTTGAGATATTCCAACAGAATGAATACCGAAGCAGACATGAGAATCCAGCTGTCTTCCATTAAGGCAGACATTGTGAGATCTTTGAATATGTAAAAGTGTCACTCTTCTCACAGAAAAAAAATTTTTTTGTAAATGTTACTTTTCATAAAAATATTCTCTTAACATCACATGGTTTTTTAAAAGTTATTTTAAAATGAATTAAAAATTAATAAAACATTTGTCAGCTGTAATCCCTTATAAGATATATATATATATATATATATATATATATATATATATATA